AACCTTCCATCGATGAGCAAAGGATTAGATATATATTCTTGTATAAAGTGATTGCCGTCATCAAAACGAATCTCATTTTGCTTCTGAACAACAATTCCACGATGTTCATTGTTCTTCCTCACCCACAGCATTTCCGGATTCTCGGCAGCAAACTGCAGAAATTCTTCTTTCCTTGCAGGCATATCAAAAGCTTTGGGAACTCCTTCCGATACATCAGCCGTAGCTAAGTTTACCTAAATTCTTGCATTTCTTTTAACTGCAAAAGTGGCAGTAAGATTACACAACAACATTCTCATACACCGTGAAAAGTGATGGTTTAAATTACCTTGCTAGTGTAATATCCAGAACCAGGTATATGATTGATTTTCTGATATGGTTTCAGGTCTTTCAAATGCTGCTCAAGTTGTTTAATAGTGAACGGATATTCATGACTCCATAAGAAGTCAAACGTTGATTCGTTTAAGCGTTTACCAGCGACAACATTGTATCCAATCCGTTCCAACACAGTTATCACAGTAGACAGATATCCTGACTTCATCTGTATAATAAAACCGTACTATGATAATGGTTGTTAGACGCAGCCACAACGTTTTCCAAGAGACATTCTTACCTTATCTCCTCGAACCCAAGCGACGGGCTTTGTAACAGGTCCATCTGTATCACCATCGACATTCTCCCTTGAAAAAAAAGTTTTTTTTAATATGTATTTCACTGCCTACAAATTATTGATCAAGGCTATGAGTCATAGTGCAGCATGAGACTAAGAAATTAAAGTGTCAAAAAAAAGAAGTAAAATTTTGTTTGCGTGAATAGACAAGACATAAATTGAAGCCGATCAAAGATGTACAGCGATAGCCTTATTAATAGAACGTACATTCAAAAGAATTTTAAATTGATTTAAACTATTTAGTCATAAAACAAATAAAACTTTTTTTGTTGAGTTGAATAAAGCTGTATAACATTGAGAAGCGTCAAACTGATCCCGATTACGAAGATGATGTAAACAGTTTGTGGAAAGTTGGCCAAACCCATAGGCATCGGTGATGCTGTTTTGGCTGCCGCCAAAGCTAAAGACACCCTTGTTAGAAGAAAAATATATTTTTTAAATAGTTATATCTGTCACTTATTATGCTCTACAGATAGTTTTTACTTTTTACAGTTTTGAAAGGAAATCTGAAACAGTTGAGAATAAAATTTAAAAAACAAAGACTTATTTGTGCACTGAAAAAACTATGTAAAATGTGTTGTGAGATTAACAGTTGAAGCAAAGTTCTTAAATTTCATTTCTCCTCTCCCCCCTACCCCTTCAAAAAAAGACACCAACTTTTAGAAGTAATACTTTAGATATAAATTAGTTTATCAGCTGCGACAGAATTGTTCACTTAAGAATTTTTGAAAAATTAATGGCCATATTTTAACTATGCAGGAATTGTCTCAAAAATAACTAGACTTTTTTTCTTGTAAAGTTAACAATGAGAATACCAAAGATATCAAAAACTATAAACCAAACCAAATCAAGAAACACGTAGTAAAGATTATTGGTGAACAAATATTATTGAAACTGCCAGAAACGATAGTTTATAATTGGAAATTGTTTAAAAGGTTACTGCCAAAATATGTAATAAATGGCGAAGGTAATAAGACATTGAGGAAAAATGGCCAACCTACCCGCATTGTGAACAATCGGACCATGATCCACTCGTTTTGTCGGTATACGAACAGATGCGTTCCGATGTAGCATTTTCCCAATAAATTTTTAATATTCCGACAGCAAACTTGAATCTGTTAGCACATCTGAAACTTAGTATTTATGTAGGTATGACAGCTAATACACTGCTGCCTGCATAATAGTTACTTTTTAAGATAGTTGTAATAAGTAAACCTCTTGTAAATGTTACTGAAATTCTTAATTTTAGTTGCCTTTTGTCCTTCTAATTAAGCTAAAACTCAGTTATCAAAATTCTCATTTAATTACAGTCAAATCGTTGAAAAATCATAATTTTTTAATAAATCTATTTAGGTAAGTCAAAAAAAAAGCTTTATTGCCCGAACTACATCGAACACCAGTTGTACCAAATGAATTCAACAGGGCTATCGTTTTTTGTGTGATGTGTCGACGCTTATTCAGTTGTTCTATGACATGATGGTCATTTAGATAAGGCCACTCACTGAGTGCCTAACAGTTCAATTGTTCAAAGTGACTGCAGAAAAGAAACTATACTTTTTTCTTTCGTACAGCTTTTTTGTATAGTCATTATTGTTTGATAATTATAACTCATCTGAAACTTTACAGATAAACGATGCTGGAATAGTAGAAGCTAATAAGCCAACGAAAAAAAAAAAGAAAAAAGATATAAAAAATATAAAATTCTTACTTGGTTAACCGAAAAACCTTTGTTGTTTCCAAACAAAGTCAGGCTATCTTAGTGTGAGTGGATCGGTGTTGTTTTCAGTGGACTAACATAGCATAATACTGAAATTTTTAACAAAATTGGTATTAATAGCTAAAAATTAGCAACTAAAACGTTAAATACTTTTAGAAATATAAACTGTCGACAATGCAGGCGTTAATACCATCTGTAAAAAAAAAAAAA